GGCCTTGCCTTGACTCTTTTGTTGAAATAACGAGTTATCCTTTGCTTGTATGCTATAGAGCGAAGCAAAGCATCTCCCCTTATCTCTGGGAGTAAGTCTAAGGCTAAGGGCTTCAGCTGATCATTTCGGTCTGGGTCAAAGAAGGTAACCCTGGGGGATAGGATCCCAACTTCCATGGGGAGTACTGCATCACTCCCATATACTAAGGCAAAAGGGGTTTGCCCCGTAGCTTCCTTGATTGTGGTACGAATGGACCATAAGATCCCGGGTAAGTCATCCACCCAAGACCCTTTCGTGCCTTCTAGCATTGTCTTCAACCCTTTCAATATTGTTTTATTTTCCGCCTCTGCTTGGCCATGTGTTTGGGGTCGGCACACAGTCGAAAACCTTGTTTTGATCCCAAAACGCCCATAATACTCTATGGTTGGCCCACTGTTGAATAGCCGGCCATTATCTGATATTAAGATGCGGGGTACCCTGAAGCGAGTGATGATATTCCTCCAGATGAACTTCTGGACTTGCTTATCGGTTATTATTGCCACCGGCTCAGCCTCTACCTACTTGGTGAAATAATCCACCGCTACTATCAGAAATTTCCTTTATCTGAGGTTATGGGGAATGGCCCTAGGATGTCCATGCCCCAACGATCAAAGGGTATGACTAACTGAATACTTGTGAGGACGTTGGCCGGGACATGGGGCATGTTAGCGAACTTTTGGCATTTTTTCGCACTTCTTGACAATTTTGGCCGCATCATCCCTCAGGGTTGGCCAATAGAATCCAGCCCTTAGCGCTTTTCCAGCTATGGTCCTTCCACCCTGATGGCTACCGCACGCCCTTTCATGAATTTCTCTAAGGACATAATTTCCTTCCTCCGGGGTTATGCACTTCAGCAAAGGATGAGTAAAGGACTTTTTGTATAGGACCCCATCATGAATTAAAAACCATTCACTCCGCTTTTTGATCATTTTGAAGTTGGGGGTGTCCTCGGGTAGCTCCCCCTTTAAGCATTGAATGATTTGGTCCATCCAAGTTTCCCCTCTATCAATGTCCATGACAACAAATTTTTGGGTACTTGGCTTCTCTAATACTTCCCACATGATATTCCGGGGGGCTAACCCCTCAGCCGAGCTTGCTAATCGGGCAAGAGCATCAGCTTGCTGGTTCTCAAAGCAGGGGATGTGCCTGATCTCGAACTTGTCAAATGATCTTGTCATGCCTTCAGCCTTTTCAAAATAGGCTTTCATGTTTTCCTCTTTCACTTCAAATTCCTTTGTCATTTGCCCTACTATGAACTGTGAGTCTGAGCAAACTTGAACAAATTTTATCTTTCATGAATTGGCACAAGTTTAGCCCCAAGATAAGAGCCTCATACTCAGCTTCATTATTTGATGCATGGAAAGCAAACTTGACTGCATATTCAAACTTCTCTCCCTCCAGGGAGATGATGACTAGCCCAGCTCCACTCCTGGCCTTACTAGACAACCATCCACATAAAGAGCCCAAGGGGCGGAGGTGTCTATTGGAGTAGGCCTATGAGCGCATTCAGCTATGAAGTCGGCTAAGGCTTGGGCCTTGATGGCCTTCCGGGGTTCAAACTCAATTCCAAAATCAGCTAACTGATCCGACCAATCTGTCATTCGGGATGAATGATTTTTGCTCTCTAACACTTTCTTGATTGGCTGGCTGGTGATGACTTTGATCGGGTGCTCTTGAAAGTATGGCTTCAACTTCCTACTTGCCATCACTAAAGCGTACACCACCTTCTCTATGAGAGTATATCAGGTTTCAGCCCCCCTTAGGGCATGGCTGACAAAATAGACTGGTACGTGGCCTTCACCTCTTTCTGCAATGAGAACCGCACTCAGGGCGTAATCTGAAATGGCCAAGTACACAAACAATGTCTCCCCAGGGAGGGGGCTAACAAGCTTCGGAGTTGTAGACACCCATTTGTGTCTCCCCAAAACCAAACCCAGTGATGGGTACCTTTCACGTTGAATCATAATTGAATGAAGCGAAAGTGTGAAAAGTTTAGTGTTGAGGATAGTTTTTAATTTCTTTTCTCTTCTCTCTGTTTTTGAAAACTTATTTTAAGAAAACAGACAATCCAGTTTGGTTGGTCCATGATATGGGTCCAATAGTAGTGTAGTTGGATAGGGCTTGACAAGAGCTTTCCAACGATATATTATAAGCCCAATTCCGATGAATATTGAGGAAGTTATAGCCAATTTACTAAACTGGGCCCGGTTTGATCCTTATATGCGGCCCAATGATCTAGAGAAGGGCCTAATATGATTAATCATTCCGAATGCCATTAGGAATGGTTTTAGTCTTCTAGATTCTTCTAGAAGGTTCTTTTCATTCCTAATTCAATTAACATTGATAAATTGACTTTTGTTGACTTTTCAGAGTTTTAATTAAGATCAAAGAGCATTTTTGAAGAAAATATACGATTTTATCCTCCTGTACGGCAAAACTTATCTGATTTTCGAAAACGCGTCAAAAACAGGCCTAGCAACTGACTCCAGACATTGGCGCCTAGAGCTAGGCCTGGCGCCTGGCGCCAGCCATTGGCGCCTAGCGCTAGTGTTGGTGCCTGGCGCCAGTTAGCCAGGGTTGGCGCCAGCTCTGTTTTAGGTACGCCAAGTGCTCTGTTTTGTAATTTTATCTTTTTGGCTGATTTCTCTATAAATAACGACGTAAAAACTCCGTTTTCATTCACCTACAATCAGTTTTCATTCGCTAATTCTCATCAAGATTTCCTTAATTCATCTTTCTTTCTATCTCTCCTTTCCTAAACTAGACTTTCTAAATACAAAATTCCGCATTCACAAGATCTAGAAACACCTAGCCATATTCAAAATTGCCTTCGCCCTAGGCGTGAAAGTTTTAATTTCTGAGGGTTTGGTCCCAAATCTCTATTTTAATTATTTAATTTAATTGTTTTGATTATTTTTTTCCTTAAACTTACTAACGTGTGTATTTTGTTATTAGAAAGAGGTATGAGACATAAAAGTAAGTAATTTAATGGTTTTAATTAATGTTATGATATAGAAATCATGTTTAAATTGTTATTATGATATTACTAGTATCATGTCTAGGGTAATTGTAATATTAAATATGATTGTTACGATGCTTCCTATGTTCTTCCTAATATTTATGATCGTTAGTACCATGTTAGGGTTAAAGATTTGATTTTTATTGTTTAGTGACATGCTAGGGTTTGTTATTAATCTTGTTAGTATCATGCCTAGGATCTTGCTATTATTATGCTTTAATATTAACATGAACATGATTATGATTATAATTGTTATAATTTATGATGATTATGAATATTATTATTCTTATTATTTTGATGGTTATAATTTTATTGTCATGATATTGATTATTATATGTTGCTTGATATTATTTTATTGTTATTGCTTGATCACGCCTTTTTATGCATGTTTGAAGGGAATTTGTACTTGTAATCATGCTTAATAAGATAATTAATAATCTTGTTAGGGTTAATATGATTATAATTTCAAGTGATCGCCAATAATAGATTTATTTGTGCATTAATATTCAACCAACATAGATACACAGGTTTAGGGTTAATCCTATTGATTGCATGTTAATTGAAAAGCGCACATGAATACGATCAGAATAAAGTGGAGGCCTATTATTAGGGCAGGTTCAATCTCTTTTAGGTTGGATTTGTACCTTCATCCCCGAACCCTTATTTGGTTCTAGACCTTATGGAGTTAACGATCTCTTGGATCGTTAAGGGGTGTAACCTTCACCCTGTGAATGGTTTACAAGTTCCTAAAACTTGTTGGCGACTCTTTTACTCTATCTTCTTCCCTTTTGGACGCCACTGTACTTAAGTGTATGATCACAGTGGGGTTCAAGCAAGGGGTTGACGCTTGAATTTATTCCCTACAGGAGTGTTCATCAGATGTTCCTTCAGCTGCTGGAAGGCTTTGTCAGCTTCTTCATCCCATAGGAACTTAGGCCTCTTGAGGGCCTTGAAGAAAGACAAACTCTTATCCGCTGATCGGGATAAGAAGCTCCCCAATGCGGCTAGGCAGCCTATAAGGCGTTGCACTTCCTTCACATTTCGGGGGGATTCCATGTTAAGAATAGCCTGAATTTTATCAGGGTTGGCATCAATATCCCGTTGATCCACCATGAAGCCCAAACACTTTCCACCTTGTACCCCGAAGACACACTTGCTGGGGTTAAGCTTCATTTTATATTTTCTAAGGGTTGTAAATGTTTCCCTTAGATCAGCTATGTGGTCCGAGCTTTCCTTGCTTTTAACAATCATGTCATCAACGTAGGCCTCAACGTTCCGGCCTAGCTGTCCTTCAAAGATCTTATTCATCAAGCGCTGGTAGGTACCCGGCATTTTTCAGGCCGAAGGGCATCACATTATAGCAATACACCCCCTGGCTAGTGATAAAGGCTGTGTGGGCTTGATCCTTCTCTAACATGGGGATCTGATGATACCCCGCATTGGCATCCATGAAGCTTAGGAGGGCGTGAACAGCGGTCGAATCCACCAACCTATCAATCTTAGGCAGAGGATGATCATCCTTGGGGCATGCCTTGTTCAAATCTGTAAAATCCACACACATACGCCAAGAACCGTTGGGCTTCCTAACCAGCACCACATTGGATAACCACTCGGTATATTGGCATTCTCGGATGAAACCCGCTTCGAGAAGCTTTTTAACCTCAGCGGCTGCGGCTTTGTTTCTCTCCGGCCCAGCATGCCGGAGTTTTCGCTTGACGGGATTGTAGCTCTCCTTAATGTTCAGCTCATGAGTCATTACCTCGGGGTCTATGCCCGGCATTTCATCTGGTGTAAAAGCGAAGATGTCTTTGTACTCTCTAAGTACTTGAATGATTTCTTCCTTGTGTTGGGGGTCCAAATTCTTTTCCACCCTCACGGTCCGAGCGGGGTCATCCCCTAAGGGTATGCTCTCATCCTCTTTAATAGGCCTAGGCCTACCGTACTATTTCGGATTCTCAGCCATGTAGATGCTCATAACCGGGTGCTGAGGTTCATCAATATCCATCGCTTTCCTCTTGGCCCCCTTGTCTTCCTGATTGACGGAGCTCTCAGGTGACTTCAGGCTATCTACATAGCATTTTCTTCCCTCGAATGGATCTCCAAATATCTTGCCCACCGATCCATTATCGGTCTCGAATTGGAGGAGCAAGTGATAGGTTGAGATGGCAGCCTTAACCTTATTGAGAAGGGGTCGGCCAAGAATCATGTTGTATGGCAGAGGGGTATCCACAACTAAGAACGCGTGAACCAAGCTTCTCCCCTTCTTCTTTTCCCCCAATCGAACAGGAAGCTTGATCGTTCCTAAGGGGTACACATGATGCCCCCCAAATCCCACTAAGGGTTTCTCCAGGGGTGTAAGGTCACCTCTTCCAAAACGCATTTTCTCGATGCATTTCCATGTGATGATGTCTGCTGAGCTTCCACTATCTACTAAGATCTTCTTCACCTTAGCATTGGCCACCTTCATATGAATCACTAAGGGGTCATCATGAGGCCTATGAATCTTCTTTCCTTTATCATCCCTGAATACCATGAGGGGGTCCTTTGGGGTAGATGAGGGAGTGCCGATATCATAGATGGGCTCTTCGAGCGACCGCAAGTGACTTTTGCGTGCCCTGCTAGACAAACCCCCGGAGGCAAACCCTCCGGCTATGACATTGATGCTGAAATTAGTGTCAGCTGAGCTATGGGCTTCTTGCACTTCCTTGGCAACCTTGCTTTGCTTATCCTTCGGGGGGGACTTGAGATATCTGTTAAGCTTTCCTTCCTCAGCTAGCTTGTCAAGGGCTCTCTTAAGCTCTCTGCAGTTCCGGGTGGTATGACCACACTCCTTGTGGTATTCACACCAAAGCTTCTTGTTCATCTGCTCTATCGGCGTGTTCATGGGGTTAAGCTTAGGAAGAATAGCCTTGTGCTTTATGTCCAAATAGATCTCACGCCTGTTCGCATTGTACTTGAGTCCTTAATCATCGCTCTCAGCCCTCCTAGGACTTCTATTCCTGTTGTCATGGTAATTATCTTCTTGCTTCCTCTTCCCCTTGTTGTTTGCTACGGGTGCCTTGCACACCTCACTAGCTTCAATGATCCTTTCAGCTCTTTCCATTGCTTCAAAATAGGTGCTCACCTTGTCATGGACAAGTTCAAACTTCAGCTTGTTAGACTTGAGCCCGAAGAGAAGGGCTGTGAAAGCAACATTGTCTTGGAGGTCGGGGATGATCTGAGACTCATTTTTGAACCTCTTGATGTAGTCCTTAAGACTTTCATTCTCCCCTTGCTTCACCGTCATCAAATGAACACTAGTCTTTTTGCCTACTCCCAGCGATGAAGTGCTTTTTGAATTGAGTGGCTAACATGTCAAACGTCCTTATGCTCCCGGGGGTAAGGTTGTTGAACCATGTCTGAGCTATGCCCTTGAGAGTAGTATGGAAGAATCTACACCATGAGGCCTCGCACCCGGTTTGGACTCTGTAGACACCCATTTGTGTCTCCCCAAAACCAAACCAAGTGATGAGTACCTTTCGCGTCGAATCATAATCGAATTAAGTGAAAGTGTGGAAAGTTTAGTGTTGCGGATAGTTTTAATTTCTTTTCTCTTCTCTCTATTTTTGAAAACTTATTTTAAGAAAACAGCCAATCCAGTTTGGTTGGTCCATGATAAGGGTCCAATAGTAGTGTAGTTGGATGGGGCTTGACAAGAGTTTTCCAATGATATATTATAAGCCCAATTCCGATGAATATTGAGGAAGTTATGGCCAATTTACTGAACTGGGCTCGGTTTGAGCCTTATATGCGGCCCAATGATCTAGAGGAGGGCCTAATATGGATTTATCATTCCTAATGCAATTAGGAATGGTTTTAGTCTTCTAGATTCTTCTAGAAGGTTCTTTTCATTCCTAATTCAATTAACATTGATAAATTGACTTTTGTTGACTTTTCAGAGTTTTAATTAAAATCAAAGAACGTTTTTTGAGGAAGATACGATTTTATCCTCCTGTACGGCAATTTTTATCTGAATTTAAGAAAACGCGTGAATTTCCAGATCAGCGCCAAACGCCAACTGTAGCGCCTGGCGCTAGCGTTGGCGCCTGGCGCTAATGTTGGCGTTTAGCGCCAATAGCCAGCGTTGGCGCCAACTCAGTTTTTTGTGCGCCAGAATTCTGTTTTGATATTTTATCTTTTTGGCTGATTTTCTTTATAAATAACGTGCTAAAAAATCTGTTTTCAATAACGAGTTTTCACCTACAATCACCAATTTTCTCTTTCATTCACCAACTCTCATCAAGATTCTCTTGATTATTCTTTCTCTCTCTTTTTTCTAAACTAGTCTTTTCTCAAATACAAAATTCGGCATTCGCAAGATCTAGAAACGCCTAGCCATATTCGAAGTTGCCTTCGCCCTAGACGTGAAAGGTTTAATTTCTGAGGGTTTGGTCTCAAATCTCAATTATTTAATTTAATTATTTTGTTTATTATTTTCCTTGAAGTTACTAACGTGTGTATTTTGTTTTTAGAAAGAGATACGAGGCATCAAAGTAAGTACTTTAATGGTTTTTATTGATGTTATGATATAGAAATCATGCTTATACTGTTATTATGATTCCTAGTATCATGTCTAGGGTAAATTTAATATTAAATATGATTTAAAGTATGATGCCTTTTATGTTCTTCCTAATATTTATGATTGTTAGTATTATGTTAGGGCTAAATATATGATTTTTATTGTTTTGTGACATGCTAGGGTTTGTTATTAATCTTGTTAGTATCATGCCTAGGATCTTGCTATTATTATGCTTTAACATCATTATTTTAATTATGATTGTTATGATTATTTTTATTATGATGATTATTTATTATGTAGCTTGATTATATATATTGTTATTGCTTGATCACGCCTTTTAATTTCATGTTTTAAAGGGAATTAGTACTTGTAATCACGCTTATATAAGACAATTAATAATCTTGTTTAGGGTTAATGTGATTATAATTCAAGTGATCGCCAATAATAATTTTGTTTGTGCATTAATATTCAACCAACATAGTTAAACAGGTTTAGGGTTAATTCTATTAATTGCATGTTAATCAGAAAGCGCACATGAATACGATCTGAATAAAGTAGAGGCCTATTATTAGGGCAGGTTCAATCTCTTTTAGGTTGGATTTGTACCTTCATCCCCGAACCCTATTTGGTTCAAGACCTTATGGAGTTGACGATCTCTTGGATCGTTAAGGGGTGTAAACTTCACCCTTTGAACGGTTTACAAGTTCCTAAAACTTGTTGGCGACTCTTTTGCTCTATCTTCTTTCCTTTTGGACGCCACCGTACTTTAGTGTATGATCACAGTGGGGTTCAAGCTAGGGGATTAACGCTTGAAATATTCCCTACAGGTTTTGGCGACTCCACTGGGGAGGATTTCTATTTTAATTCCTGAATTTGTTTCGGCAATGATTTAGAATGAGTGGATGAGACTCGAAACGTTCTAAGTATTTCATGTGCGTAATTTTGATTAGCATTATTGTCATATGCATAAAAAAGACCTCATTGGAAAGACCATCCGTAATGAGTTAAAAACATAGGATTTTACACGTAGGAAATTTGAGAAATATCTTTCACAACTAGGACCGAAATAACACTGCGCGAAACTGGAAAATTTTATCGAGCACAGAAAGCTGCTGAGGCATGTAGGAATTAGCGTCAGACATTTAACTGTAGCGCCAGACGACAAGCTTGTCGCCAGGCGCTACAGCTAAAACCTGGCGCCAAGCTTTGTTTGCTGGCACCAAATTCTTCCAATACCGAGCCAGAAATATGCGTTCTAATTTTGACAAGTTTTTCGCATTGTTTGCTCGATCCTAGTTCCTGATTGAATTTTTCTCACTTTTCTGAAACCCATATGTGTTCTACATATGGACATAACCCTCTGGGAATTCATGCTCCATCTACCTGATTGAACGCTCTGAGCAACAAAGGGTACATCCGAGAATGTTGAATGCACCAAACCATGGAAGCGAGTTTTTCTTAAACTCGCGGTGTCCCATCCACTCACGCCAACCCTTCACGGTTAGGCTTCCACGCGGTGCATCTGGACAATTAACCATGGACCCTCTATTGACTAAACGATATCCCGAACTTTAGAGAACTAGAGCCATGGTTAGGTTGAAAACTCATTGCATCATATTGTGCCTACTTGACTAATTGTGCATTATTTGTTGTGCATATATATGTTTTCTTAACCGTTTATTTGACTTGTGTCAAAATTTAATAAATTAATGACTTAAAGAACTTTGCCTAATTAATTAATTGATTAATTAATTTGAGTAAACAAAGTCTAATATTTTAATCGGAATTGACCTAGCACGAATTTAGGTATACCCCGGTTGATTAATAACACCGAAAACAGTCTCGGATCGAAGCTCCAGCATTGGCGCCAAAGTCTGGACTGTAGCGCCACTCTGTGGAGTGTGGCGCCTGGCGACAACTCTATGTCTGGCGCTACACTACACAGTGCGACGCCAGTCCTGTCGTTTTGCCAACAGTTCGGATTATTGGTCGAGTCATCACCTAGTGTCTAATTAACCAGTGTACTAATTAATTTGGTTAAATTTCGCTGTCAATAACACTTTGTTAAGTCATTAATTAAGTCTAGTCACATAGTCTAGCCACATGGTCATGACACGAGTCTTAACATATCACCTACACTCACTAGTCTTAGCACACACTTTGAGTATATGTCACCATGACCATGTCTTAGGTTCATGCATGAGTCGGTTTTTTCCGTCATTTGAGTTGGGGGCACATTCTATTCCTAATTCTTCATATCCCTCCATCTACATCATTTTTCTTCACATTCTATTCCATATTTCTTCACTTCCTCCATCCATTGCATGTTAAATAAAGTTTGAGTCAAATAATTAACAATAAATATCCCCAAATTCCTTTTCCACAGTACTTGGTCGAGGAGAGAAGGGTGATTAATCAAGGACAACCTCTTTATTTAAGTCTCACTTTTCGATAAACCAGTTCTTCAAAAGAGGAAGGCTAAAAAGATAATGGCAAGTCAAGAAGAGGTCAATGAACTTAGGAATCAATTGAATGATGTGACTGAGGTGTTAAAGGCTTTAACCCTCCAAATTGACGACCCTGTGAAGCAACAACAAATGAACCTTATGCAAGAAAGTTTGAGCAAGCTATCTAGTGACTATAAATTTCAGAACATTAGTTAACAAGGGGTCTCGCTGGACAAGGAACTTCTTCCGCATAAGTTCAACGCCACTGACATCCCTAAATTCAAGGCAACATATAACCCTTACTTCCATCTAAGAGATTTTGAAACTATAATGAGCATTAAGGGTATCGATAAAAAGGTTTTCCCCTCTCTGTTACCACTATCTCTCGAGACCGTTTGTCAACAACGGTTCTTTTCCCTTGACAAAGAAAAAACCTCCACCTGGGAGCCCATATAAAACGCTTTCATAGACAGATATAAGTGCAACATCCAAGACGAAGCAGACCATAGACAACTTGAGATGTTAAAACAAAAAGAAAACGAAGGGTTCACTTCTTTCTTCAACAAATGGAGGGAAACTTTCGCTAATATGGTCAAGACTCCTACCGAAAAAGAACCTGTGAGGATATTTATCAAAATCTCCAAGGGAATTATTCAAAGCACTTAAAGTACCAACACAATTTGAATACTTTCAAGGTTGTCTATAATATAGGCATTGACATTAAAGATGACCTTCTGAAAGATAATAGTGCGAGAGGAAAGAAGAACGACCATCCTTCTTCTTCCTCTCCCATTAATGAAGTACATGCCACGAACGCCTCTAAATCACGAATCCAAAGATCCAAAAGGGTGTTCACTCCACTTGGTATGAGTTATGAAACAGCTTTCGAGAAGCTACATCACAAAGGACTAGTCATGCCCATAGGGCCTATCAAAGATCCAGTTTCAGAAGCCAGGCCACCCAAGTGGGACCCCAATAAGCACTGCAAATATCACCAAGGAAAGGGTCACAACACTGAGGAGAGTTGGAAACTCAAAGAAACTATTCAAGATCTGATCGATAACAATGAAACTTCCGAGATTATAGCCATCGAAGAAGATCAAACATACTTTGATCCATCACTTCTTATCACACCTGTAGGTGATCCCATGATCGAGACAGCTTATATAACCTCTCTCAATGAAGTGACCATGATTGAGGAGGATGAAAGTCTTTTCTTAGACAATACCGGGGAAGACTCGTCAAGTCTAAAAGAGGACGTTCGAAAACTGCAAGATGTCG